TCTTACTTGTCCTTTATCGATAACAATTCTTTGCAATTCATTTTTTTCTCTGACCTCTAATATTAAACATATATATATATATTTGTATTTTTTCCTACTGACCATTTTGTATTAAAGTATTTTGTAAATATATTTTTTACTTAGACTGTTTAGTTTCAACATTTGACAAAATACATAGCTTCTTATGTAGACTTTAGCTTTTCACAAAATGGAATCTATTTATCTACTATTTTGATATTAACGTTCAACGTTTTAGTTTATGGCAGAAAATTTGCTGTTTTCACTGTTGGTTTTGATCATTTGTTTTCATGTAGTTAACTGCAGCTAACTCTCTTATTGTGGGGCTAACTAGTAGTCAACGTTCAGTCAAAGTCTGTTATTTTTGGTGTGGTTTCTATTTTTCCACATTTTAACAGATAAAAAAAGATTTAATTTGATATGTTAAATATATTATTGAAAAATCACATTTTCTACTTTTCTTATTTTTTGTATCTTTTCTGGCCATCCAATTAACCTTTCATTGTGCTGCAGTTATAGGTGATTAACATTTGCTTCTTATGCACTGTATTATAATTAATAATGTTTATTTTCTGTTTGCTGTTTATGGCACTTTACAAGCCTTCATTCTCCCATTTAACCTTTCAACATTGTTTATTTTTCATTATTTTTAAGGAGCCATGCATTTTATGCATTTGTTTTGCGCCAAATAAATCTGTAAATGAACAGGTTTTTTGTTGACTCCATTTAATTACAGTCTTAAGTATAACCAGTGAAGCCTCTGGGTATTTTACATTATCAAATCTGGCCCCTTACTTGTAAAAGGTTTGTACTCTCCTGGATTAAAGGATTAAAAGTTTTTATCTGAAGCCTAAAAACACGACTGAACTTTGAAATGTCTCAGAGCTTCATTAAGGCGAGGTGTTTTCCACTCGGGGTTAGTTTCCTGTGCAGAGCTGTGAAAATATAGGGAGGAAAAAAAATGTCGACAATGTGGAATTCACCAGGGCCTGATCTGACTCCAGGTGTTTTTGTGTAAAATGTAAATAACACACACACAATCATTTATCAGGAATCTGCTGCATCTGCCACCAGAGGTTCAGCATTCCCGACTCTGACTGTGTGTCTCATTCCGGACCTTCAATTTAAATGATTATCAGTGCCTTGAAAAATAAGGATAATGGGAACAGCGCTCGGTGCTTGTGTCCTATTAGAAAAACCACATGTTCAATATCACCCAATAAGTGTCACTGTAATGCTTTTACAGGCCAGCACAAGGAAGATGGACGGGTTCTCTGCTAATGTGGACTCCTTTATTTCTATTTTTTATTTTGTTTGTTTGGTTTTTTTTTGTGTGTGTGTCTTGTTTAATTCTTATGTGACCTGAAACACAACCAAAGGCGAAAGATATATATATATATTTATATATATGTACTTGTCTTTTTTCTATCTCAAACTTAATCTCAAACTCCATCATGACTGAAGAGTACGTCAATATTTTGATATGTTTTATTTTGAGTGGTAGCGAAAATGTAACCCATGTACAGAAAAACTACCAGAAACTGCAGTTCCTAAAAAAAGCACTCGAGACGGAAACCATCAATTAGTTTCGCTGGATTAAGACGAGCAGACATTTCCATGTAGGCAGATGTGGATGCACACGTTCGCCCCGGTGAAATATGACGTCAGACAAACTACAGCTCCTCAGTTGATTATATACATCGAGTACTTGTACTTCACCTGCCCTGCTTCTGCAGTAATGCCATCCCTGCAGTTGCATTTTCTGCAGGAATTTCTGTCATTCGATATAATCTGAGTCTCTTCTCCCTCCTGCAGGCCACTTACAAATTCATAGAGAGGTTCTGATGAAGTTCCTTCACCTTCAGCACCCGAGGCTGTGAATGTGTGTTACGCAGACGAAGATTTGTGTGTGCATGCGTGTGTGTGTGTGTATGTGTGTATAAATGTGAGTCTCTGCGCGTATAAGCTCATCCATCGGCACTTGAATTATTAGTGGACTGAGCTGGTCATCTCCGCTGGTGATTCACAGCCCCTTGTAAGGCTTTCAGGGGTATTATATGGTGTTTTATGTGATGATAAATTCACTTTCTGGAGCACAGCCATCCCACCGTGTCAGCTTGTGGTCATAGGTCCTGAGGAGGACGGTGGGTGAGGGGTGATGAAGATGTGGGAGGAAGATTATGTTCTTTAAAAAAAAAAAAAAAAAGACTAAGACTAAACGGGAAGTGACATTTCCTGTAAGAACTAATGAGACGTTGCGGCTGTAACTCAGAAGCGGAGCGACAATAACAAAAAAAAAAAAAAAAGATGGCACAGGTTTAAGAGGAGAACTACAAACTATGTATCAAGGTTATTCAGGCGTTTGGCAAAAAGAAGGTAGAACCGACACGTAGGCAACAAACAGAGTAGAAGTGCCGGCACAAGGACAACACATCCTGAGAGGTAAAGAATTATGAAAGATTAAAACGACAAAGAAAAAAAACAGGTTTTGACAGTGGGAGTGAAAAGGTCAAAGGTCACCATGGTAGAACCCACTGAAGTAAAACATGCAAAATGTAAAAAGGTGTATAAATGTAACAATATCAGACTGGTACAGGTGTACAGAGAAAACAAAAGACCGGCAAAATGACAGGAGGGGCAAAAAGCAAAACACAGACTGACAAAATGAAAACGGTAAAGGGGGTAATGCAAAAACAAAAACAAAAAAGATATTAAGTTGAAAAGTAAAGGGGGAATAAATGTGAAAAGGCAGAAAATGGGAAAGGTGTAACTGCACAGAGACAAAACAGACGGAAAGGTTGAAGAATGCTGAAGGGGAAAAGAAAAGAAAATGAGCAGACAAGAAACTAGAGGGAACAAAACATTATGACAAAGGCAAAGTGATGGTGAACAAGAATCAATGAATTGTCATCACTTCTATTCCCAAAACTGTCAAATGAAGTAGTTACACCTTCTAAAAACAAAACAGTTCATACTGAGGGGAAGGAATTAAATGTCAGGGGGAAAAAACGCTCCCTGGTGAAAATGTTCGAGTCATGAACAGTAACTGCACTAAACTGCACTGTGAGTGAAAATCAGTGGCTGTTCTGACAATAAAGACAGGTGAAACACATCACTATTTAAAGGAAGCAGCAAAAATGATTTTTTTTCTGCATTTAAAAACAGCCGATACCTTTGAGTGGACGGTGGAGTGACGGTTGACACTGCCTGCAGCACAGTGACTTCTGCAGAGCGGGTGTTCGGGTGGTTAACTTGTTGTCACTAACCCGATGAAATAATCAAATTAAATGCAATCATGGATTAAATCTAAGCAGTGACTGGAGTGAAGGGAAAATGAAAGAGTCGAGATTTGGCCACAGAGCGAACTGGATCCCTGTACCGGACAAGGAACAGAGACTTTTCCATTTAATTTAATGGAGTTTCAGATTAAAACCCCAGCGGTAATGGTGGGAAAAGGAAGACTCCACTGACCTGTGTTAATCCCGTTGGCAGCAGTGGCGGAGAGAAACTTCCAGCGGTGCGTTTTTTAGTCCAAACTTGCAGAAAGAAGCAGCGACGCTTCGCCGGCGGCAGCAGAACCAGAAGCTGGAGGAGCGCTGCGTAAAGAGCGCGTTTCACTGCGCGTCCTCTTCCTCACAATCACAACAACAGCCGCGTGTGTGCCATTACAATGCACGCTTTCATTTTTGGCACACGCGCGCGGTTCAGTAGAAATCTCGGCTTGTGCGCATCCAGAAGCAGGAGGTGTGCAGGTGCTGCAGCTCCACGCTGAAAATGATAAAGATCTCCTCCTCCTCCTCCTCCTCCTCCGTATGGATTCTCCTTTCTCCTTCTCTCTTTCTTTCGCGGACAAACTACTTCCTCCAACAATAGGCTTCAATTTTGCTTCCTTTTCCACGTCTCCCTGCAGGATGCGTGTGTGTGTGAGGATGCGCTCAGCTGCTCTTTTGTCCGATCTGCACTTGTCAGCTGATGAACTGCGCACATCCCTCCGCTTCCCTTCCTGCTGCTGCTGCTGCTGCTGCTGTTTCCCTCAGCGCCGCCCCCCCCCTCTGCCGGGTCGTGTGCTGCCGG